TATATATATATGGAAAAAGCTTGGATTAGCCCACTAGCTCATATGAACATATATGCCCAACAACCCACATTGAATATGTATCGATCTGATGATCACGGATGTCTGTCAGTATTTGAATTTTAATTTTTTCTATAAATCCAAATCACTTGAAATTTTAAGAGTGTGTTCTTCTCAAAGCGCACCTAATAAAAATATAAAAAAAATTATTCGTAAAAAATAAAATGACCAAAATAACTCCAAAAATAGTGTAGATTGAACGGATCTATGAAAAATTGAAAAATCTTAAAATTGACGATCCAAAAATACATTACAAGATGCACTATTTCTAAAATGTGAAATCCATTTGTTTCTTCGAATTAAATTTTTGAGGTGCGCCCTAATTTGATTGTTTAGAGCCTCACACATATATAAACCTTTTTCTTTTAGATTTGGCTGATGACTTTTTTTAACTATAAAACTGCATTCAATAAGTGGAGACATCTTATCTTTCATTTTAGTTTTAGAATGTATTTTACAAATTATAATGCTTTATTGTAGTCCATGTATAGTTATATACTTCATGATGATTCTATACTCCTTTTATGTGATGTAAATTTAATGGTTAACAACAATTCATACAAGAAAATAACATCTTAATATTCGCATATTGATGCAAAATAATGAATGTCACTAATGCAATACCCCTATTGTTTATTGAAATCCTAAAAAATAATATTTAGAATGGGTTTAATAAAATTTTAAATATTTGTAGAGTCGAATCCGACTGATCCGACCAGGGTTTGAAAACTCACCGTGTCGAGCCGGACTCGCCCTTTTCGACTCGAGAATCGTCTGCAACCGAGCCGGTTCCACGAAAAAACCGGGAATCGCCCGTGTCCAAAGAGAACCGGGCGATTCCTAATAGTGAATCGCGAGTCTTACACGTGGCCGCCTCACGGGAGATTGAGAATCGTGAGTCTTACATGTGGCCGCCTCACGGGAGCAACACGTGGCAACTAAAAATCCTCCACACGTAGTAACTCACCTCACATGTAGGCCCCATCGCTTTTCTACACGCGCAATGCAACATCTATTACACAGAAATTTATAGAGAACAAAGCAACGCTCATCCTTCGATGTGGGAGAATTCCCACAAAAAATCATTAAAGCAAGACGATTGAATATATATTATTATAGAAGCTAATAAAATCACATTAGGGGACGTGGCAGTGTTAGCTGGCATCCCCGATTTTTCGGTAGACGTCTAGAGTTCGAACGCCTTAGCGTGTCCGCGTATATTTTTTTGTTGTAAAAAAAATAAACAAAGGTAGAAAATATTGTTGTAAAAAAATATTAAAAATAAAAAATAAAAGGCTTTTCAAGATAAAGATAAAAAAGATAATACAACATTTTTTTATTTTGCTTGTAAAAAAAAATTCAAAGTAATATAACAAGTATTTTTTGCAAAAAAATAAAACAAAAGGCATAAAAAAATAAAATGTACTTTGGCAGCATCATTTTTTTATTTTTCTTGTAAAAAAAAAAAAGTAATACAATAATAAAAAAAAATGTAGTACAACATCTTCTTCTTTTGTCAAAAAAAAAAAGAAAAGATAATCAACCAATATCATATTTTTCTTGTAAAAAAAAATAAAAGATAACACAATAAGTATTTCTTGTCAAACAAATAAAAGGTATTTCTTAATACAACCTAAGAATAAATGGTCTAACTACACTTTTTTATTTTTAGAACATGATGGTTTTTAACATAAATTTAGTAATATTAATTTAAAAATAGGATTCATACAATGAGGTCATTTGAAATCTCTCTCTTTCTACTAACAATCTCTTCCACTAATTTACTCTAGAAACCTAAAAAATTAAAGAAAATTGGTACGCATGATAACCAAATCTTTTACTTTATTTTTCAATTTTTGTATTATAAATCATGTAGTATACTACTTTTATTACAGTTATCAATAATACATTTTAAATTAGATGATATTATAAAATATTTTGGATTTGTTATTATTTATATAATAAAATAATTATAAAATATTGTTGGTATAAAATATTATAGTTAGTTAGGTTGTAATAATTTAGGTTTTTTTAGCGAATTAGGGATTTCGGCAAATTCGAGATTTTAGTGGCCAATTTTTCATCGATTTAGTCAACTCTTTATTATAGTCCATATATGATTATATACTTAATCCATGATATTTTTATGATTTCTTTTGTGTGATGTAAATTTAATAGTCAATATAAATTCATACAGGGAAAGAACATCTCAATATTCATAAATTGATGAAAACAATGAAAGTTAATAATGTAGTACCCTCATTTTTTATTGGATTCCTAAAAAACAATATTTATAATAAATTTTAATATATTTTTTTTGAATTTTTGTAAGACTTAATCCGAACAATTTGGCCCGATTCTCGATCCGGATCGTCGATTTGCATATCGAAATTGATTTTTGAGATATCCGATCCGCGTCACCGATCCGTTTTTTAAACCACTGGATCCCGCCAATCTACCGCATAAAGCTGATTGGCCGATCCAAACTAATTCTTGGGATGCCCTATCCATCGCAACGATCCGTTTTTAAATGACGGGACAACCCAGGGTTACCAAACTAATTCCACTTTCGAATGAGGTAGTTCACATGCGCCACTAAGGACTATATGCATCCGCATAACTCGTGCTATTACAAAGTGAGAGAGAGAGAAGGGAAATATGATGCTTAATATCAAAGGAAGGGGTGTTTATATAACAAAATTAAGCGAAAGAAACCAAAAAAAAGAAAAAAGAGAAAAATTAAAGAAAGAAGCGCCGTTCTATTGAGAGTGAGAGAGAATTATAACACCGTTTTACATCATTGTTATAGGTAATTATTTTTATTCCAATTAATTATTCTAAACCCTCCCCTCTTCTCAAAACCCCCCAATAACCTTACCTAGCGATTGACCCCTCACTTGTTCCCCTCGAGCTCAAACGCAGACACAGGAAAGGTCCTGGAGAGCCCGGCCGAGCTCTTGAACGTTATCTTAGACGAATCAGAATCGTCGATGTAAATTTCAGAGATGGAGATCCACAAGAGCAGCTCCTTGCTCTTGACACCAGTGAGATTCTTCATCCGACGGTCCTCGACAAACGCAGAGACCTCAGGGGCGTAGGACACGAGCCGTCCGATCTTCTTGAAATAGTGCTCCTTCTTCTTCTGTTGCTTCAGCCAAACAAAGCCCTTCTCTTTGTTGTATCCCACCTCCGCCAAATCTTCGAGGGGGAGGAGGCCCTCTGGAAGGTTTAGGGTTCGCAGGAGTTCCAGCGATTTCTCTTTGCACTTGCCATCGCCATGATAAACCTCTGCGTTTTCACGAATGTTTTGAATTGTGGCCTGAGACGCCATGCCTGTTCCCTCTCTCTCTCTCTAGATTTCTTATTTTCACTTTCTCTGTCCAATTTTGTGCCTCTCTCGTTTCGTGCAGAGGAAGTCGGAGCATGGGAGGGGTTTTAAAGAGAGGGGCGGTTAACGTAAATGACGATAGTGCCCCTTCCATTTTTCTTTTTATTAAGAAAATTTGTTTTGTTTGCTGGATCCCATTTCTACAATACGCGGTCCAGCACCCATTCTAAAGATGAATGGGAATAGGGTGGTTCATCTAAAAACAAGTGTAACTAACTATCCAAATATTTTTTTTTAATATAATTATTATTTATAATTTTTTAAAAAAAATTTATAATCATGATCATGAACTCCACGATAAAATCTCTTAAACTTAGGATCAAATTATATTTATTTCGAATATGACATATCTACAATAAAATCTCTTAAACTTAGGATCAAATTATATTTATTTCGAATATGACATATCTACAATATGTATGCACCTGGCCGCATAGAAACTGTGTCCATTTATTAATGGAAAAGTTTATATAGAGCTGAGGCTCTAACAATCTAATTAGATCCTACCTCAAAACTTTCATTAGAAGAGGTTATTTTAATGCTCAAATATCTTCAAATTTATTATCTCAACATCAAGATGCATGGATATAAGAAAAAAATTGATTTTACATTTTGGAAATAGTGCATATTGTAACGCATTTTTTGGACCGTCAAATTTCAAGATTTTTACGTTCTTATAGATCTGTTAGGTCCGCACTATTCTTGAAGCTTTAAATTTTATAATTAAAGATAAAAATATATTTTAAGGCTATCACAAAGATTTTCAATATTAAAACCATATTTCTCCATACTATTGGAAGATGGGCTCTAATTTGATTGTTTAGAGCCTCGGCTCTATACAAACGGCACCCATTAATGTTTAATGTATTGTGGATGTAAATTTTGGGAGCACTGCTGCATTTTAGTCCCCTCCTCTCCTACTATATCTGCTTAGGGTGGCATGGGCCGGGCCTATAGCCACTAGGCCAAATGGCCAAACCAAGAAATGGAAGAGAAATCAAGAAAAAATGATGGTCGAGTCAATAGATATTGGCCCTAGCCCAAGCCCTAATTTTCTTAGAGCTGAGCCGTCAATTGGTTGGGCATCGGTTCGACAGATATTGGTGGTCCATCGGTTCGACAGATATTGCGTGACTTGGCAGCACAATAAAGTAGTGGTAAAGGCTTTAGGGAATAATGCGGACACACGTTATTGTTAAACAAATAAAATAAAATAAAACGTGGACTCACGAGGATACAATGCTGTACAGCCATTGATTCACTTTGAGTACCCTTTTTTTAATTCTTACCTAATTAAGTCATGCAAACAACATACTTTGTCCATAACAAAAGAAAAACAAATTCTATATTTAATATAACGAATTACAAACTCTTTTTAAGGTTGACCAACAAAAAAATAGAAACCTGAAATTATAATTAGGATAAGCCATAAATTAAGATAAACAAGGACATATCCAAATTTAGGATAAGGTAAGCCTCGGGATCAAGATAATCAAGAAGCAGAAGATCTAAGTCAGGACAATGTGTTGGGATGAGCAATTTTAGAGTTTTCAAATTATTTTTGCATTATTTCGAACATCTTGATCTAGGGATCAAGAGAATGGATTTGCATATTTTTAGAATCTCAGTCAGAATAAAATGGCAAAAATGAAAGAATGCGACTTTCCTTCTTTTTTTTTTTGGCTGAATCAAGGACTTCAATAATTATCTTTAAAACAGTTAAATAGAAGAACAATTGTTTCATGCAGGTTGGACCGCATTTCCATAGTTCGTGGGCGAGAGTTTTAAATAGAAGAACAATTGTTTCATGCAAGCTCGACCGCATATTTACCATTCATGGTCGAGAGATACAAACTATGTATCTTAAAGATGGACGCAAATACGTGGTCCATCTAAAAACAATTGTAACTAACGATCCAAGTGTTTCTTAATATAATTATTATTTTTAATTTTAAAAAATTTATTTATTTTTCATATTCATGATCTCCATGTTAAAGATTATATATTTTCTAAAAATTTGGATCAAATTATCGTTAAAAAATATATTTATTACCAAAACCCGTATAGCTAAAATATGTGAGCTGGCCACATACTAACCACATCCTAGAATTATGGGACGTTCTATTTGGGAGGAAAAATAACAAAAAAAATAAAAAGAAAGGAAATTGTTTCTATGTGGCCAAGCCCCCATATGTAAAAATGTGGGCCAATTAATAAATCTATTTTTGAGGTAGAGTTTTGGATTTAATTTTTAAGGATATTTAATCTCTAACATAGAGATCATGAATATGAAAAAATAAGCAAATTTTAAAAACTAGAAATAATAATTCGAATAAAAAAACATTTGGATCATTACTTTCCATTGTTTTTACATGAAACACCTACTTTCATCCATCTTTAAGATGGATGCTTTAAACTTTTGGACCGCATATGCAGTCATGCGATCCAGCCCGCGTGAAACAATTTTCTAAAAAGAAAAGAAGGGGGGCGGGGTGGGGGAGGGGAACCACGACAATGGCACACTTTGGGTTTTGGTCCTTGGGAACACATGGAGTTGGGCAAGGTGCCTCACATTTCTCAAGGGGCTCATACCCTAAATCAATGACACACAGTATAGTGCATATACACGTTTCCCAATGAAAGATAGTCTCATCTATTCTCAAAGATACAAAGGGGAGGCCTATAGAAATGCATCCATAAATTGTTTTCATGCGGGCTGGACTGCATTTCTACATACGCGAAGGTGTTTTATCTAAAAACTATGGAAACTAACTGTTTAAATGTTCTCACTAAAATTAATGTTTTTAGTTTCTAAAATTTATTTATTTTTGTATTCATGAGGTCTATGTTAGAGATTACATGTCCTTAAAAATTAAATCTTACAATCCATATCAAAAAATAGATTTATTAAGAGGTTCGCATTTCTACATATGTGGACTTGGCCACATAGAAACCGGGATTAAAAAGTGCTTCTTGTATGAAGTTGCAATCTTAAAAATTAAATCTTACAATCCATATTAAAAATAGATTTATTAAGAGGTTCGCATTTCTACATATGTGGACTTGGCCACATAAAAACCGGGATTAAAAAGTGCTTTTTGTATGAAGTTGCAATTTTAAACAATTAAAGTAGGATACACCTCCAAAACTAGGGGTGCCAGGGATGCCAACAGGTTGGGGCTAGCTCTTGGGTTAAAGACCCGACCCGTCTGAGTCTTACCAAAACCAAGACTTAACCCGGTTTTGGTCCTTGGGAACATAGGGAGTTGGGAAAGGTGCCTCACATTTCTCAAGGGACTCATACCCTAAATCAATGACACACGGTGCAGTGCATGTACACGTTTCCCAATGAAAGATAGTCTCTTGTTAAAGGACGCGGTTTCTAAGAGTTCGCCAACTTATATGTATATATGCGGCCTCCCACTAAATGTGACGGCTAAGAAACTTTTAAAATTAAAAAAACAAGTTTAATATCGTTTTATGCACCCATATCTTATTCATAGACAATACATTTTATATAAGGTGTGGTTTGTATAAAGCCGAGGCTCTAAACAATCAAAGTAAAGCATACCTTCAAATAGTGTCAAAAAATGTTGTTTCAATATTGGAAATTTTTTTGATAGCCTAAAAATACATTTTCATTTCTAATTAAAGCTTAATTATACAATAGATTGAGTACATCTATGAAAACTTGAAAATCTTGAAAATTGATTGTTCAAAAATACATTACAAGATGCACTATTTCCAAAATATAAAGATAGACATTATCTAAAGTGCATCTTGTAATGCATTTTTGAATAATCAATTTTTAAGATTTTCAAGTTTACATAGATCTACTCGATCTAAAGTACTTTTTAAGCTTTAATTAGAGATGAAAATAGGGCAAGCTTTTTATGCTTTTCCTACAACATAAAACTTATGTACTTTCCCAAATCCAACCGTCCATTCTGAATGGAGGGCTAAGATTGCTCCAAGCACAATGTCACTTCTCTATTTTATTTTTAATTTGTTTCTATAAACCATTTTGACACCAAATTTTAGACGTCCAATCCTCTATTAAACTCACACTAGTGAAAAAATATAAAAACAATATTTTTTATAAAATAAAATGACCAAAATACCCCTAAAAGTTTCAAGGGATATTTTGGTCATTATATTTTAACAAAAAATTATTTTTAATATTTTTATAGGTGCGCCTTAATGAGAAGATGGCACGTACCAAATTTTATATTCATACAATTTGTATAAAAAAACAAAAAATAAAATACTTTGAGACATCAGATCTAAGATTAAATGGCGAATGACTCTCTTGATCAAAATTGGACGGATGGATGGTATGAAAAGCATAGATCTTCTATGTTGTAGGGGAAGTATAGAAACCTTTCCCTTAAAGTAATGTGCACCTCCAAAGTAGGGGTGGCGACGGGTTGGGGTTAGGGTTTGGGTTGGCGATATGGCCCGACAAGGTCTTCCCAAAACCAAGATTCAACCTAGACTCGAGTCAGGTCCAAGTGACTTCGACCCAACCAGGTAGGGTCCAAGTCACTTGGACTAGGACTCAGGTCTAGACATTAAGAAAAAAAAAAATTATATATGTTCTTTAGCTAAATTTTTTATATATTTCATGCCTAGTTGGTTAGGTCGGACTAGCCAGAACCCAACTTGTTGGGTCCAAAACATGGACTCCTACCTGAATCTGGTTCGGGTCGACTCGTTGGGTTGGCGGGTGGACCCAACCCGATTGCCACCCCTACTCCAAACCTTGTCTTGTGATGCAATTTTAGTTTTGAAAATTCTTATGGCAGCAGAGAATCTATTTTCATCTCTAGTTATAAAAATCTAAACTTAAAAAGTAATTCAAATCAAGCACATCTATAAACACATGAAGATATTAAAAAGATAAAAGTTTAGATAAGGTTACAACCTTAAAATGTAGAATTAAAGATGCACCTAAACAATCCTTCGGAAAAGGTTGTTTTAATGTTGAAAAACCTTCTAATTGATCATCTCGAC